GAGTGGTGAATGACAAGGCATGTCAAGAAGCGCAGGGAGTCGTCATTTCAGCATCTTGTCAACCCTTCCAATATCGACAAGCACGAAGTCAAGCTTCTTTCGTTTCTAATAACCAATCGCTAGCGGCTACGTCTCCTAAATGGCAGCAAGTTTCCCAGCAAGCGAAAGCTTCGGAGCAACCACCTCGAATACACGCTGGATGCGACTAAACGCGGGACAAGCGACGTTCTGAGAGGACGAGAGGTGGGGGGTGTCATCCTGGGGAGACGACAATGAGAAGTCACGGTGTTCGTGGATGGTATTGAAGCCGCTCTGCGAGCGACCGTTGAATATCGTATCGGTATGTTCTGTCGATAAAAACAGCTACCGGGCAAGCTTGCCGCGCTGACAATCGGACACATCGCGCCTAGCCGATCACCATAAATGGAGGTCGCGCTAACCCCCGCCCCCCCCAAACCCGACAATAGACGAACCCTCTCCTCGATGAACACGACGCTCTTAACCTCCACGGATACATACTTTATTCTGCACAATCGGCCCATCCCGTGTGGAGGAGAAAGGCAAGAGCAAGGTAAACGCAGCCTCCGCCGGGCGTCTGTGAAAAGGAAGTGGGCGAGAAGGGATGACAATGTCAACCGCACAGAGATCCTAGAAGAGAGTAGAAGCATTCTCGTGCATTCTGTCAGGAGCGTGAAACAACGGTATCCAAGCGCTCATAGTTCAGGCAGAAAATTGTAACCAGGGCGTACGGATCGATTAGTCGTGGGTGGCCGGCGCCCGAAGGTCATGGAAGAAACGTACTTCCATATTGAGGCGGCGAGTCTGGCATTATGAACGTCTTCGAATGACAGGACCGAACAGAGCAATGCTACACCTGTCATGAAGTCGAGCACACGGCTTTCAAATGCACTAAGTCCCAGCGGTGTGCCAGGTGCACCAAGGGAGAGCACACACAAGACGTATACCCATACAGTATGATGTATGCCCCGAGTCGGCGCTCAACTGTGGCCTGCATGAAAGCGTGGTGAGCGATATATATATAGAAAATTTTGCCGCGATATCGATACAGTCGACACCGGCATGTCCTGATTGTCCCAGTGGAACACCGCAAATCGTAGAGCCGTAGCACATTGCCTCGCAGGGAGCCATGAACTCATTCACCACAAAGGGGAAAGTTCCTAGCATATGCCTGAAAACATGACAAGTCAAGCATACAGGCTAACCCTATCTTGTGCCCATGACTATTCGCCCATCACTAATAAGGCAAGACAGATCAGCCCACGCCGTGTAATTCGCAACATAACACTTGCCAGTAGCCTATCTCTTCTTGCCACAGTTGGCACAAATTTGACCGGTAGGCGTGATGCCTTCATGGCAATAATCGCACCCGGAGGATGACATGAGACCGAACATGTGCTTCGACAGAGTTTGGGGTCGGTTATTGGCCTTTGAGCTTTTCTGGCTCCTTAATGCAAACAGTAATGACTGAAGTAGTCGAGATCACGCTTCGGGATGCGGGAAATTTTGCGCAGCCACTTTGATATGACGTCTCTGTTACGCCACGAATGGGGCAGCTCTCAGCCACTGATAGGCTAATAGTGGAATAACTGAGGTCGATAAGGAGCGAAATAGCAAATCCTGTGGCGAAGCGGGTTCATAGTATGGATCGGGAAAATAATACTGCGGGTATCTCGTGATGTTACCCCACACCATTTCCCGGATGATTGAACTCCACGTCACCTCCATTAGAGGCAAATTCACCCCGTCTCCCGCCCCTGTTGGCTGTTGCGTCCATGCGCAAGCAAATGGCCTCACATACTCTACCCCAGGAGCCTCTCTTCGGCGAGACTACTATATCATTGTCGGTGACTGCCGAGGAAGCCTCAGACTTCTTCTTGGAACACGGGTTTTTCTACGAGGCGTCCAAAGACATTGGCCAGCTCATCGCGGCACTCGGAAGGAAAGCTCTTGGGCCGGATGGTCTAAAAGAACTTCGGCGAGTCTCTTCACAACAAGGATCTGTCAGTCATCCGCTACCATCGCAAGGTGTCGTTTCTAACTGTCGCCAGCGCCTTTACAAGATCCTCGAGCCTTTCATTCGCGATAGACCCTCTTTCAGCTGTATACTTGGGGAAGATTTGGGGGTATTCTTCGCTCACACCATCGATGACATCCCGAAGAATCGAGCCATAATTTACATGTGGGGGAAGAATACGCAACTGGAATTGTCATACGGTTCCTTTAAGATACTCCTGAAGGGTGTTCAGGCATCGAATGGCTTGGTGCAAGTACCGTATGTCTTTCTAAAGAAGCGAAATTTGGAGGAAATTAGCGTGAATATGCTGGAGGGCGGCGTGTAAGTTGAGTCACAGAAGCGATTTCTCCTCTCCGCGCTGACAGACAGTATTATTATGCATCCAAGGCAAGTCTTCTCAGTCACGACTGGCTTCGGAATCGGATATGGGTGCCAAAATGCAGATAATCCTCGGGACCTTACCCGGCGTCCGCCTGTTCCAAGTCCCAAGGCAGGATAGCGCTATTCGGTTCGTCCAACTCGAAAGACTGCCATGAAAGGTGAGATTGTGCAGCCTGATCGTTTTCGGTCGTATCGAATTGCGAATACACCAATGTGTTAAAGAGCTGCGAGGTATTGAACTCAGAATACTGGCTGGCGGACTGGTTCAGAGGGAGAGGGACGTAAGGTGATGTAGGCGATTGGAAAGGATTGACAGCGTTCAAGTTTAGTTCTCGTGCCATCGTTGGTTGATCGAAAGCCACTGTTTCAGACAGAGATGCCAAGGGTGCTTCCGTCGCTAGCGATGGGTGTTCAGTCCTACCTGCTGCAACTTGCGGTCGTGGGCGACGTTCTCGGCTTGGGCTTGTTGAGCTCCTCCCCCCTGCAAGGCCAACTTTCCCCTCGATCTCGGTGCGAATCGCTTCGCATCGTTGCTTAATATACCGCTGATGGGCTGGAGACGCATCTGTTGTACATTTATGGTTGATGAATTTGCTACTTTTGGTGTAGGTAAGCGAACAAGCAGGGCAGACCTCATGACATTCGTAATCTGGGTGAGGGCGGTTAGAGTCTGGTCTACATGGGCTTCTCTGCAACGTACGTATAGCGCAATGCCGAATATACTCCCGCTTCCGTCTAAACACTTTTCCCGCGCAATCGTTGTGGTAACACTGGAATTTCTTCCGTCGAATTGTAGAATGCTTCTGGACACTCTCCGGTTTGCTGTGAGGCGTTTTCTGGGGGCTTTCACATTGTTCGATAGTTTGATGAAGTCCAACATCGCAGTGATCGTATCGTTGTTTGCCGTCATCACGGTGTGAAAGCAGCGCCAAGAGGTGCCTGATAAGAGGAATAACCTGTGCCTATAATATTCTTGGCAGGAATTGATGTTGGCCAAGTCTAATGCTCACCTGGTATGTTTGCACATGCTCGGCTAGTTCAGCATCTGAAGAGAAGGCTTTTGAGCATGTATCACAGCGTGGGGACATGGTAGCGATCGTAACCCATCGACCAAGTGACTGGAGCTAACGAGGATGTCGTGAGAGGATGATTGCTGACCCCGCTTCTGGAAGTCCGAGCTCAATATCACGTGCTCAATCGCGATCACCCAATAGAATTCCGAGTTGGCCAGGTTCCCTCAACAGACACCCTGCGCCTGTCACTCCGTTTCCTGGTTCGTGACGAAACTTCAACCCATCATTGAGATCGTTCAGGCAACCGAATGCTTCCGCAAGAGCAATGGCAAGTTCGGTTTTGAGTACACCCAGCTTCTTGTTCGCCGCGACGACGACTATTTCCGTGCGAAGTCATTATCCCGCAAGGTCCACCTCAGCAACACCCACCTCGGCAACAACGAACTCCAGGACTTCGAGTTGATCCCTTGCGAGGCTTACCGCCCGATGTTGCCTTCAGGCAGCTCCATCGCACCAGAAGCCATCGGCTACCTCAAGCAACCGAAGCTTTTATCATTCAAAGACAACTCAGACTTGACCGAATCTCTTCTCAAGGAACTTGCTGCCTGCGAAAGCGTGAAGCGCAGGCCTCACCCCAACCTCGCTGCCTTTCATGGTTGTCACGTTATCGAAGGTCGAATCGCTGGCTTTTACTTCGAGAAGTACGTCGAGACGTTAATGGACTGGCCACAGTCCGAAAGCTTTTCGATCACCCCGGCTTTCGATGAGAAGAGGCATTCATTTACAAGAACTGTCGGATTGTCATCGTGACTGGTCATGCTACGAGCTAGATTAGCGTTGAACTTCATCAAGGGATCTTCTTCGTACATTGCGTTGTCGTTGGATACTGCGGTGGGTCCGTTGAGGCTCAGGTTTAAAGTCCGCTGATGTTTTGAACTTATTCCGTGTACAGGAAGACCATGTGAGGCTGGTCTCCTGTCTTGGGTTTTATGCCTTTGATGCTTCACGTAGATGCAGAGGTGCAGATCGACTTCCCGAGGTGCACTTGCACGTCCACCCGTGCACTTGCACGAGCCCTCGTGCACTTGCGACACCGTGCACTTGCATACGCCACGATCAGCGGTAACCGGGCGAACCCGTCGTTTGGTCGATCAGCCATACAAGCACGGACCAAAGCGGGGTAGCCAAATCCCCAGCCACAAAACGCAGGGTAGACGCTTGTCCATGTCGGAGAACCCACGAGGATACCTAGTTTCCGGATTGCAAGATTAGAGGGTGGCCTGCGGCTGTCGTGTTGTAGAATGACTCTGCCAATCAAATGGGTGGATGATGGCTCAGCCTTTGCAGCCTTGCTGACATATCTCCACCGCAATTGGACGAGCGAAAGGTGCCGTTGAAGCCAATGGAAGCTCGTGGAAAGAAGGCAAACTCAACACTTGCACAACGAGTCGCCACATTCAACCTCGTTTGTCAACAGTGCATGTCGCAGCCATGTATGGAGATGATGCCTCCCACTATTGGTCTAGTGACGAGGAGACGCAACCTCAACCGGACGACGAATCATGTTCCGATCAGCCAGCCTCCCGCGCGTTGACACCAGTCCAGCGACCTGCCCGAAGGACGTTGCCATTTGTGCCGTATGCTAACTGGGATCCAGACCAGACGTACGACGACTTGCCTCCGACGTGTCTTTGGTACGTTCTGGAATGGAAAGTGATGTTCAACAACCGGAGGGTCCGAGTGCAAACCGAGGAAGGCCTTCCGGTAGCCCCAAGTGATTTCTAGGCCAAACACCTATCGACCAAGGTGACCGACATTACAAAAAGCCCGGCTTATCGCTTCCCATCTCAGACCGCCATCTTCGCCATCAAAAGATCTTGTAAGAATCCTTGACTCGACACACTTGAATCCCCAGTGTTCTTGTACATACCCACTGCCTCCTGGTTCGGCGTTCTCTTGTTCGGCACCAACTGCGCTCGTTCAAAGTCGATCATCATGACTCCATTCACTTCCAGATTCACCAACATGTTAGCGACCCGCACATCGTTGTGGACCACCCCGTGTTCATGTACGGCTTGCAACGACCGCACTGCCATCTTCTCAAGTAAGTTCCTCTTGCCTTCGAAGCTTCCGCTTGCGTCGATGCGATGCCCTCCCCAGGACAGAAATGTCAAATGGACCACATACACCCGATGGTCATAGTAGTAGATCTTTTTCATTGGCCGCAGGTCGATGGCGCCCAAAAACACAGGCACGTTGGCTCCCTGAATCGACCGGAGGCGCTCGTAGACGGCAGCCTCATGCTCGAGGTCGCGGATGAAGGCCTGCACCGTTCCCTTGCCGACGAATGTGTAGCCGTACGCAATCATGGTCACCTGGAAGAGAACACCGCGGGCGCCACTCACGTATAGCGGCCTGATTCCGTCGTCCAGTGATTGCTCTAGTTGCTTTCGGAGAAGTTGAAGCCATTCTGTATGGTTGACCGGGTGAGGTGCGTGGGTAGAAGCACGTTTTCGGGCACGGAAACGGCGTTCATTGCGGTCATGGCGATCGTGTCCGGTGTGGAGCGCTATGTTGGGGCAGTCTCTGTCAAGGAAACCACTCCTAACCAGCCCCAGTAGGCATTTCTGTGTGCAGTATGCCCGGCCTTTCTCACCGCCTCCTCGTGGTTGTCGGGACATAGCGTCCTGATTAGATTTAGTTTCCTGTCTTCTTCTCCTCCGTGATCGCGTTTCCATCGGGGTTGGGGTATCCGGCGGATTGGGTGTCAACTCGTCATCAGATGACTCCGGTTGATCCCTTCTTAACGTTCCCCTATCGACCTGGTCTCCTCGACTGGCTCGACGTCTCTTCCAACGACGCGCATGCGGTGATCGGTCGAACCCTTCGTAGGTAGTCGGCTTGTAGCCTGATGAGCCGCTCGAAAGCGATCTTTCGCTCTCGGGAATCGATCGCAGTGTCATTTCGAAGTCCTGTGCCCACGTTCTCAGGCCCAAGGTCACCCGCCGGCGCTGTTCCTGTCCATGTATACGCCGTTGCCCTGGTGAGCCAAGAGCCAAGAGGCTAAAAGCCAGATACTGACCGACGGCCGTACAGACGTGAGAGTGCTCAGGATGGGCAGCCACCTCCGGACCGGGTTCCGCGAGGTGGTAATACAGTGTTTCCGGCTCCTCCCAGTCGACCTTGAGAAACACGATCGCTTCGCCTGTCGTCACGAGACCATACTCAAGACCGCCCTCGATCATGTAATGGTAGGTCTGCGTGACGGCGGATGCTGTCAGTCTCTCCGCGTGGTATTGGAAGAGTGCATCCGGGGCGGCGGAAGTTGGAATAGTTTTGCGATTGACGACGTCATTCGGAATGTTCATGGCCCGCAGACCGAGACGTAGGTGTGGTGTGGTTAGCTTGTGGGGTGGCTTGTACTCGGAAACGAAGACCATGGTACGACTTTCCGAGGGTCCGTCGTTGGATCGGTAGACGCAGATCTGATCAGGACGCAGCTGATTGAGGTCATGTCTGTGGTCAGGTGTCTGTGGTGTCGAGGGAGTTTGACGGTCGGCCACCTCTTGAGCGACATCGCTGATGGCGTGGGGATGGTTCTCGAAGACAATTCCTCTGCCCATGTCAAATGCGCGTCTGACACTCTCCACCTGTTTGAGTTGCTCTGATATTGTTCTGACTGGGTCTTCTACACTGTTGTGTAAAAAGAATTCGAGCGTCTTCTCGTTTGCTATCGGTCGCTGAGAGATCCGGTGACCCAAGCCGGCTAGAAAACCGCGGCTCTCAAATAGGCGACTGTCGGTAGGAAAGCTATCGTGGAGCGTACCGAAGATGACTCTCTGCTGTTCCAAAAAGTCAGGCCATGGTCGAAGATGCGTTGGACACCACTTGTTGCGGGGGTTGGTAATAGAGCCCTTTGATGTCAGTTTTTTGTCTGTTTCGACGACAAGTTTGAGGAAGACATGGATGTGGCAGGCGACGATGTACTCGATGAACGTCGTGAGTCGAGTTTGTTCCTCGGCATCCTCGGCGCGTTGTTGCTCTCTCTCGGCGCGTTGTTGCTCTCTCTCGGCACGTTCTTGCTCTCTCTCGGCTCGTTGTCGTTCCTCCTGTCGATCTCGCTCTGCGTCTTCGGCGCGCTGCTCCGCTTGTCGCAGGAGTTCTTGGAGCTCGTCTACACTTTTCGTGTACGCCATCGTAATCCGACAAAAGATGCGCACGATGGAGAAAACGATCGGTAGATGTAGATGTGGGGCCGAAATCTGTGACGCGTCGGGACTGCCTCGGATTTCCGCTAATATGTTTGCTTATTAATTAATGGTGTCTCCGCAACCGCCTGGTAACACTCGGTTTCCGATTAACCTTTAACTGAAATCAGCCACGCTTTACAGAACTTGATCAGCCACGACTGCCACGTCTGCCGCCACGTCAATCAATTAGACAGCCTTCATCCGAAGCCAACCCCGCTCCCTCGCACCATCACACAATCTCGCGATGGCTACAAACCCAAAGCTTGCGGACCTTCTCAAGAGAAACGCTCCCGTATTAGACTCTCTATACTCATTTCTGACGATTGCCGATGTACAGCGATTACACAGAGTCTGTAAGGCCTTCTGGTGGCTCAGCGATGACATACGATCGCGGCTCAAAACTAAACTCAAAACTAAACTCAAGCAATTTGTCGACGAGCCTCAGACTTTCCTCCAGCAATTGAAGGTGAATCGTGGCTTGGTTCATGGTCTGTTCGTGCTGAACGTTCTGACCTTGAACCGTTCTCAAGATCGTTTCTTGGATGTGCATGTTGAGCATGGCGCCCCCTTTGATTCATTCGCCGACTATCTGGAAAACACCGAGCATTATGTTCTCCAGAGCATCGAGACGGTGGGTTTTGTTTCAAATCTGTCAGGATTACTGTACTAACACAGACATGGCAAACAGAAGTATAGTATCTACGGTCGTGGCTCTGCCACCGCTACCACTATTCGTTTAAGAGCTTACAATGGTGCACCGGGTCAAGCCATTCTGAACTCCTCTTTCACGACTGCAGACGTCAATGTTATCTCATGGAACAAAATCTATTCAGTCTTTCCCTCGATGACTATTGACGACCATGAGTTCTACCCCTTGAAGCCTCTCGACGATAGCTTCGGGGTTCATCTGAAAGAGCTTAGTCGACACGGCTGGACGACACGCGACTTGCGCTGGCCAGATACGACGACCCGACCGCTTCGAGGATCAGGTCAGCGAAGGTTCGGCGACAGTCTGTCGCTCGTCTTTCAACTTGGCGATGACTCTATGGAACTAAAAGACTTGGAGATCACCATGTTCTCTCGCTCCATCGAGTACTCTCAATTCGACGTCATTGAAGTACAACTCCCCCGATTGGGGTTCGGTAGAGCCGCCTCAAATGGTGGCATGAATCCGATACCTTTTCCAAGGTCCTCCATCCGTATGGAGGTGAATGAGGTCGCCTCACCAGCCTTGCGTTTTCGATACACATGCGGCGACAAGACCCACCACAAATCGTGGTTCCAATTCATCGAAGAACGCCTCAGACGATGGGCTCTGGTTGAATTATTCAAGATGAGCCCTGAAGGCCGGCCCAATAACTTTGCCAATGCTGGCCCCCCTCAGAATTTCAGAATCTCTCTTCCTAGTGGTTTTGAAGCGCCGAAAGATTGGGATTACGCTGATGATCAGATGCCACCATGGTTCGATTTCTGGGAGAAACAGAAGGACCCAGCGTAATGATACTTGGGAAGCAGTTGTGAAAGTAGAGACAGTTTCGTACGACTGTACCGTGCCCTACGTCAACTGTTTTGCAGGTTTCTAGATAACTACAGAGCTTTCCGCTGAAGATTTCAACGAACCCAAAGCAGGTGTGACACCAACCCCGCACCGCAGTCTGTGTGAGGCACATGTTCTTTTGTACATAGGTCGCGTAGCCTTCGACATCACCATGCACTTCAACGATCAAGATGTTTGGGCTTGCAGCCACTGGTGATGGTGGGGCTCTTTTCAGCTTTGCGGGCAAGGACAGTGTCAGCTTTGTGGCCTCAAGCTGATCCTCTCGGTATTTTTCCGGCTTAAACATACGCAGGGAGGATATGGGTCCGCCGGCCGCGACGGAACCATCTGACTTGTCGAGGTCTACGGCCGCGACGAGCCCAGCCCCGATGTCTGTTGCCAATGCTTAGATCGAGACCAGTCTCGTCTATGAAGACGAGCTGGTACGACCGCAGGTGACATTTTCGTGCATATATTCATCTCACAGATCTTAATTCCGTTCTTTCGCGATATTTTGAGTAGCCTTTTACCGCCATCCGTCCTTCTTCAGGGTTCTACTAACGATAAACCGTGTCACCTCCACATCATCGAACTCTTTTTGGAGGAAAGCGACCATCTCGCGGAGGAGCATGCACGGATTCCAGTCGAGCTTGTGGCTCAGGGCAGCCAGCATGGACGTCGGCCGGCACCGTTGGTTGATGGCATCGTGATGGATCCAAAAAGTGATCGGTTCGTTTCATGGCGAGAAATTGAGCGGGTCGAGCTATTAGCTTATTTGTAAGTGTCCTGTCACCTTGCGACCGACTCTCTAGCATGCGCCGGATCACATAACGCTGGCCGAGGCCCAGATTTGGCGCCGTTGTATCGAGCTGTTGTAAAAACCTAACTTCACATCACGGTGGCCTTGGACAAGGCCTCATCAACATTGGCTGTTTCGGTAAAAACTAATATCGGTAATTGATGTCTCGTCATGTACACTGTCCCAACTCCCAAATTCTCGCACAGTAAAGACGCATGGGTCTGTGCGCCCAAACATCACTGGATAGTTCTCCAGCTAGACACCGAATTCGCTCCTAGCTGTAGACGCCGGAGACGCCGAGACCCTCTGTATCGCCACTTCTTATTTGTTTCGTTGAAGTACGGCATCAAACCGATCGAAGGTGGGTTGGTCTTGACGCGGGACGGCGCGACACGCGAACTGGTGGATCCCACTCCACGTGGCGCCCCACCTGCAGCCATGGCGACCGAAAACGACACGATCAACGTCGCGTCTGACGAGGAAGGGAGGAATGGTGTTGAGCAGCGACGACTTCGACCGCGCAAACCGAGCAGCAAAGCCATCGAAAATCAGACAATCGACGATACAACCGACGATGCGGAAATCACGACTAGGAAGCCCAACAGGCGCAATGCCAGAGCGGCGTTGGGAGGACGACCGTCCGTGGAGAAAGAGCGACAGGTAGACGACGACACGTCGCGACTCGCAAAACAGGAACCGATGAAGCAGCAAACGAAGCTCCTCAAAGCAGTCTTAGTTAAGCTCCAGTCACTGGCGGAACTGATTGAAGATCTTCAAGACGAAAACCGAGAACTTAAGAGGGACCTTCTTACGACTAAAGACAAACTACACATGGTCACGGAACAAATGACAGAACAAGCCCAGAGCATACGCGGAAGCGCCGAAGCGATTGCAACGATGGTTACAGGGCAGCAGAGGTCCGAGCCATCCTACGCAGACATTGCCCGAATGCCACCGACCAGCCGACTCGACAACGCGGGCCCGGGCCCCACGGCACCACCGGGTCCAACAGACGTGGTCTTCTGCACGATCGACACGTCAAGGATCGAGGACGAACAAGACGAACAACTGACACCGGGCGCTGTTCGTACCCTCACGGAAGGCGAGGTCAGGGTGGACCAGAGCCAATCCGATTGGCGTTGCCTGGCTGTGACCAAAGACCCGAAGAAGCCTCGAATCAGAATTGCCTGCAGAAACGAGGAGGAGCACACCATGGTGAAACGGCTCGTGGGAGCCAAGCTGCCGCGGGGAGCCCGGATGCTGAGAGACGAACTCTACCCCGTCAAAGTCGACTACGTGTCCCGCACGGTGGTCGTGGATGAGGCGAATGCCATTCGTAGTGGAGCCGCCGAGGAGATTGGCAAAGAAAATGACGTTCAAGTTGCGAAGGTAGGCTGGCTTAGCAACAGGGATGTTCCGAAGGCGTACGGCTCAATGGTTATCTACCTCACGAAGAAGGCGGACGCGGAAAGGCTACTCGCGGAGGGTTACGCTTATGCGGGAGGACAATCCGGGAGGACCAAGGTCTTCGAATCTCGTCCTCGCCTCGACCAGTGCTACAACTGTCAGCAGGTTGGCCGCGGCCACAAAGCTCACCAGTGCGACCTGCCCCAGATGTGCGGGCAATGCGCCAAGGAGGGTCACCACCACAGTGTTTGCACTGAGACTACCCTCAAGTGTGTTCCCTGCGGAGGTCCTCATGCGTCGTTCAGCAGAAACTGCAAGAAGCTCTACCCTTCTTTGAATGAGTAGCACGCTCCGGATAATCCAACTCAATGTGCGAAAACGCGGCGAGGTTCACGAGAGCCTCATGAACGACGAGGACATTCAGGACGCAGCGGTGCTGGTCATTCAGGAACCACAAGCACGGATGATCAAGGGACGGTTATTGACGACTCCGATGGGACATCACGGATGGACAAAGATGGTCCCACCAACGACTGGGGAAGGACGATGGGCGATCCGAAGCATGCTTTGGATAAGGAAGGATTTGGGGGCGGAACAGGTGTTGATAGAGTCTCCGGACATGACAGCAGCACTGTTGAGGCTCCCAGAGAGACTGGTACTGGTGGTGTCCGTGTACGTGCAGGGGATGGACACCCAGGCATTACAGGAAGCGTGTAACACCATACGTAGTGCGGTCGCGGATGCTAGGAGAGCCGCAGGAGAGGTGGTGGACGTGGTCATTGCGGGCGACTTCAACCGCCACGATCAACTATGGGGAGGAGACGACGTGTCTCCGGTACGACAGGGTGAAGCCGATAACATCATCGACCTAATGAACGAGCTCTCCCTCTGCAGCATGCTCCCACGGGGCACGAAGACATGGCAAGGCGGAGACCACGAATCGACAATCGACCTTGTGCTGGTGTCAGAGGACCTAGCTGCGTCCATGATCAAGTGTACGACGCACGGGACAGAGCACGGGTCGGACCACCGCACCATCGAAACGATCCTTGACGTATCAGTTCCGACCCCGAAAGCCCAAGACCGACCTCTATTCAAAAACGCGCCATGGAAGGAAATCAACACCCGAATCTCCACGGCACTCGAGACAGTCCCGATGGAAGGCACGGTCCAAGAGAAGACGGACAGACTCATGTCAGTGGTGCTGGGAGCAGTACAGGCCTTGACACCGAAAGCCAAACCATCGCCATACGCGAAGCGGTGGTGGACGGCGGATCTTACGCAGCTCCGCCACATCCACACACATTGGAGAAACCGGGCGAGGGCAGCAAGACGGGCAGGACGGAACGATGAAGCACTGGAGAACACGGCCAAGGGAGCAGCGAAACAATACCATGATGCCATTCGACAACAGAAGAAAACCCATTGGAATGACTTCCTGGCCAACAACGACAACATCTGGAAGGCCGCCAAGTATCTGAAGTCTGGCGACGATGCGGCGTTCGGCAAGGTGCCACAACTTGTGAAGGCTGATGGCACACGGACGACCAACAGCAAAGAGCAAGCGGTTGAACTGCTTACCACTTTCTTCCCGTCCCTACCGGAGCATATCGAAGAGGAAGGGGAGAGACCTCAACGCGAATCAGCTGTTAACATGCCCAACATCACGATGGAAGAAGTCGAACGCCGTCTTTTCGCGACGAAATCGTGGAAAGCACCTGGTGAGGACGGGTTGCCAGCGATGGTCTGGAAACAGATTTGGCCAGCCGTCAAGCACAGGGTCCTGGCGATTTTCCGCGCATCACTAGAGGAAGGAGTACTCCCCGACCAATGGAGGCACGCCAAGATCATCCCGCTCAAAAAGCCCGGCAAAGCAGACTACACCATCGCCAAGGCTTGGAGGCCAATCTCGCTCCTCGCCACGCTCGGCAAGGTTCTCGAGTCGGTTGTTGCGGAGAGGATATCCCATGCAGTCGAAACGCACGGGTTGTTGCCTACGAACCACTTCGGGGCCCGCAAACAGAGGTCAGCAGAACAAGCGTTAGTGCTGCTGCAAGAACAAATCTACGCAGCATGGAGAAATCGTTGGGTGGTCAGCCTCGTGAGCTTCGATGTGAAGGGAGCGTACAATGGAGTGTGTAAAGAGAGACTTATTCAGAGAATGAGAGCGAGGGGCCTCCCAGGAGAGTTGCTCCGTTGGGTAGAGGCATTCTGCTCAGATCGGACGGCGACAATTCAGGTCAACGGCCAAGCATCAGAGGTCCGGACCCTGCCGCAGGCCGGACTACCGCAAGGATCACCACTGTCACCCATCTTGTTTCTGTTCTTCAACGCAGACCTTGTACAACAGAAGATCAACTGCTATGGGGGAGCTATAGCCTTCGTCGACGACTTTACAGCCTGGGTCGCTGGCCCAACCACGCAAGACAACCGTAAAGGAATTGAGGCAATCATCGAGAAGGCATTGGACTGGGAGCGGAGAAGCGGTGCAACTTTCGAAGCGGACAAGACTGCGGTCATCCACTTCACCCGATGGGCCAAAAGGTCCGATTCGGAACCCTTCACTATCAAAGGGCAAACAGTCGAACCCAAACAGCATGTCAAGATCCTCGGCGTGATCATGGACATTGGACTCAGGTATAGGGAACACATTGCAAGAGTGGCGACCAAGGGATTGGAGGCTGCTATGGAGCTGAAACGACTGAGAGGATTGACCCCGGCGACAGCACGGCAGCTATTCACGGCCACCGTGGCTCCGGTGGTGGATTATGCCTCTAACGTCTGGAGGCACCGATGCAAAGATCGGACGGCGGCAGCAATCAATCGCGTCCAAAAGGTCGGAGCGCAGGCAATCATTGGAGCGTTCATCACGATAGCCACGAGCGTAGCAGAAGCGGAGGCTCACATCGCCAGTGCACCAGAGCGATTCACGAGAAGGGCTATCAAGCTTTGGACGGATCTCCACGCACTGCCCGAGACCAACCCGCTTCGAAAACTGACTGCTCGCATGCGGAAGTTCAGGCGTTTCCACCGCTCACCATTTTTCCAACTGGCAACTGCGCTCAACGAGATTCCAATGGAGAACCTGGAAACCATCAACCCATTCACACTTCCGCCGTGGATGGAAAGAATGCAGACCATTGCCGAATGGAATGACGACTCAACATCGACGCGTGTCGACCAGGACGCGATGGTGCGCATCGCCGTCAGCAGCTCGGCACGAAACGAGCTGGTCGGGGTCGGCGGAGTCATCGAGGGACCAGGAACGGTGCCCGAGACCTTTTCTTTCACCCACGGCATGAGGACCGATCAGAACCCGTTTTCCGGAGAACTCGTGGCGGCGGCGTACGCGCTGCGGTTTCTGCCACAGCTAAGGGGCCAGAGGGTAACGTTACTGACAAGTAACAAAGCCGCGGTGCTGACACTTCGAAACCCCCGTCAACAATCTGGACAAGAGTACGTTCGCT